GGGTTTCCGCATTACAAAGGTGACAGACACGTAAAGCCAGGGCCCGGGCCGTGAGGGTGCCGATTGCACGCTCTAGCGTGCGAGCCGTGCACAGCTCAGTGGGCACGCCGTGCGTTCCAGGGCTGCGCGTGCAGAAAGACCCGGTCCCAGGAGGCCGCCTTGGTTGCAACAATCTCACAGCCCGTGAAATGGAGGCCACTCACCAGCCTACGCTGCCCCACATGGAGACAGAGGGGCATGGCAAATCTCAGGGGGGGGGGCAGAAGGCGACCCCTGGCAGTCTGTATCTGCAAAACCAACAAGGAGGCGGGTGGCACTTTAAACAGATTTGGGGGCATCAGTGTGCGTGGGCCAAGACCAGCCTGGCCTCTCGCTCCCGGGGAGCATCAGACGCGGCACCACTGGCGAGAGCAGAATCAGGCCCTGGCGTTGCCATTGGAGACGGGCCCAGCGCAGAACCCCAGCTGGAACAGGCCTGCAGCCCATCGCTCCGGGCAGTTGCTCTGAAGGGGTTTTATTTGCTCCTTTTTATTTTTAGCCTGGGCTCAGATTTCACTTCAGAAGGTGACCTATAAAGCTGCAAAAATATTAAGGGGAAAAAGCCAGCCACCCCCTCTAATTACCCCTCCCCTGCCAGAGCTAAAATAATAAACACACATGGCCCACGACCCACGGGCAGGCGTGGCTCTGTGGCTTGGGGTTACACAGCAGCAAAGAGGGATATTTATTTCCAGGGCTGGCTCCGAGAACATCTCTGCTGGGCTCCCCAGCCCGGGGGGAGCAGGCAGCGGGGCTGAACTGTCGGTTTGTTTAGGGTTGGAGGGGCTGCGAGAACACGCCCCGGCCCTCAGGCAGGTACCTGCTGCCCCCGCCTGCCTCGCTCCAGGCCCTGTCGGCCCCCACAACACGCCACGGCCATGTGGCCTCGCTGGCAGGAAGCCCACTGAGCAGGCAGAGCGCTGGGGGGGGCGGAGAGCGGGAGGGAATCAATAGCACCAAAGCGTGGCCCTTCCTGGCTAGCGCCAGCTGCGGTCCGACGGGCAGCCTGGCCGCCGGCGTCTATTACCC